GAGGCTGAAGGTCCACCTCAATGGGTCTGGGAGAGAGTGTGAGGTGGCTGGAGTTGTGGGGAATGAGGCTTCTAGCAGTGAGGTGCAGTCTGTCTCTCGCTGTGAGGCGGCTGTAGGTGGGGAGGTAGCAACGGCTACCAGCAGTGAGGTGTAGTCCAGCACCTGCTACAAGTGGCGAGTGGTAACCAGTAATGGGAGGAGAATCAGAATAAGGAAAGTTAAGAGTGAAGATCTGAAGGTAGGAAATCGCTTCTTTGTTCTTCAGGATGAATGTACTTCAGTGGCCAGTGAAGGTAAGGGTACTACTGCCTCTGCTAACAGAGGTAAGCGCATTCTTGTGGGTGGTGACTCTCAGGTAAGATATATTGGCCGTGCTTTTTGTAATAGGAATAAGATGAGAGATAGAGTGTGCTTCCCTGGAGCTGGTGTTGGGGACATAGTTAACAGGCTGGATAATATCATGTCAGGTAATGGGAACAAGCCCATTATTTGTCTCAGTGCTAGTGGAAATGATATTGGGAAGGGTAGGAGAGAAGAGCTGCTAGGTAAGTACAGGTCAGCTATAGATTTCATTAAGTCTAAGGGAGGGGTCCCAATCATATGTAGCATCTTGCCTAGAAGGGGAGTAAGAAATGAATGGTTGTCTAGGGCAATTGGTGTAAATTGCTGGCTAGACAGATACTGCAAGGAACTTGCAATCCCATTCATTGACAACTGGAACAACTTTTATGGCAAACATGATATGCATGCAAGGGATGGGGGTACATCTCTCTGGGGCTGGGGTGGTAGCACTTGCAAACTCAATTGAGAAGGCCATTGGTGAAATGCCTATGATTTTAAACTGATAGAAGATAGAGGTATGGGTGTGTGTGGAAACAAGCAGGTTGCAACACTAGGGTTGGAATCAGTAAATGTATAAAAGGCATTCAGCATGAAGTTATATATAAAGACAATAGATCAGGTCAGCAAACAAAGGAGGACAGCAGAGGACAGCAAGGGACTAGCTCCCTTAAGGTTTACTATACTAATAGCAGGAGTGTAAGAAATAAGATAGATGAGCTAAGATTAATTGCAAGTGCAGGAAACATAGATATTATTGCTATAACAGAGACCTGGCTCAATCTGAAAGATAGAGAGATGCCCTCTGAATGTCACATACAAGGCTATAAATTATTCCACACTGACAGGGTCAACAGGAAGGGTGGTGGAGTAGCGATGTATGTCAGAGAATTTAAATTGTTGTGTTAGACAAGATATAAAAGTAGAAGCGTCAGCCACTGAATCTGTTTGGTTACAGCTTCTCGAGGGCCGAGAAAAACTAATTTTGGGTGTGATTTACAGGGCCCCAAATCTTGATAGGGAGTGCAGTAAACTTCTATGGGACGAAATTCGTAAAGCATCTACATACGAAATTGTGCTAATGGGAGATTTCAACTAAAGACAGATTGACTGGAGCAATTTGACAGGAAATTTAGTCAGGTGACTTTCTTGATACGATCCAGGATTGTTTTTTAAAACAGTATGTGACAGAGCCAACTAGGGGAAATAACCTCCTTGACTTGGTTCTTGCCAGTAGGGAAACACTAATTAATAATCTTGAGGTTAATGATGAGCTTGAGGAAAGTGATCACAAATCACTCAGTTTTAATATATTATGGAATTCCCCTAATAATGGCAATCAAGTCTCCGTCCCTGACTTTCGCTTGGCTGATTTCATAGGACTGAAAAATTACTTAGGTGGGCTGAACTGGAATGACCTGACTAAGGGTCAGGTAGGTGGTGATGGTTGCCGGTATGATGCTTTCCAGGGCATAGTTCTAGCTGCTCAGTCAAATTATGTTCCAAATAGGGAAATGAGATCAAACAAAAATGATCCTAAATGGATGAACAATAGATTAAAATATCTGATTGGTCAAAAGAGAGGCATATATAGGCAAATCAAAAGAGGAGGGGGGCAATTAAGAAATCGATATATTCAGTTAAAGAGAAATAAAAAAGGGAATTAGAAAAGCAAAGAGATTATGAGATTAAAGTTGCAAGAGAATCGAAGACTAACCCAAAAGGATTCTTTCAGGTATACAGAAGTAAGATCAGGGACAAGATAGGCCCACTCAAAAGTTCCTCGGGTCAGCTCACTAACAGTGATAAGGAAATGTGTAGAATTTTTAACACATACTTCCTCTCAGTTTTTACACAGGAGGATACCAGCGATATTCCAGAAATGATAAATTATGTAGAACAGGACGATAAACTGTGCACGATTAGGGTCACAAGTGACATGGTCCTTAGATAAATAGATAAATTAAAACCTAACAAATCCCCAGGCCCTGATGAACTGTATGCAAGGGTTCTAAAGGAATGTAAAGAGGAGCTTAGCAAACCTTCGGCAAATCTTTTCAACATATCACTACAAACTGGCATGGTGCCAGATAAGTGGGAAATGGCAAATGTGATACCTATTTTTAAAGCAGGTGACAGGTCCTTAGCTTCGAACTATAGACCAATAAGCCTAACCTCCATAGTGGGAAAATTTATGTTATCAATAATTGCCGAGGCAGTTCGTAGCCACCTTGAAAAGCATAAATTAATCAACGAATCTCAACATGGTTTTACACAGGGGCGTTCCTGCCTTACGAATTTATTAACTTTTTTCACTAAGGTATTTGAGGAGGTAGATCATGGTAATGAATATGATATTGTGTATATGGACTTCAGTAAGGCTTTTGACAGGGTCCCACATCAGAGACTATTGAGGAAAATTAAGGTACATGGAATAGGAGAATTTTTTTCCTGGATAGAGGCATGGTTGACAAATAGGCAGCAGAGAGTTTGCATAAATGGGGAGAAATCAGAGTGGGGAAGCGTCACGAGCGGTGTTCCACAGGGGTCAGTGTTGGGCCCCCTGCTGTTCACAATCTACATAAACGACATAGATGAGGGCGTAAAGAGCGACATCGGCAAGTTTGCCGATGACACCAAAATAGGCCGTCGAATTCATTCTGACGAGGACATTCGAGCACTCCAGGAAGATTTGAATAGACTGATGCAGTGGTCGGAGAAGTGGCAGATGCAGTTTAATATAGACAAATGCAAAGTTCTAAATGTTGGACAGGACAATAACCATGCCACATATAAACTAAATAATGTAGATCTTGAAAGTTAAGACACATGTGCAACATCTGGATATCTTTATTGTAGACGTTTCGCCATCCAGTGGCTTTATCAATACAGATTCTAGGACATAATAGGAAGACAGTAGAACTATATACAAAAGATGAGGTAATCAGTCCCTCGGCCTTGGAGTTAGTGTTCACAGCATCGTGGTGGAGGAGATTCTCCTCCACCACGATGCTGTGAACACTAACTCCAAGGCCGAGGGACTGATTACCTCATCTTTTGTATATAGTTCTACTGTCTTCCTATTATGTCCTAGAATCTGTATTGATAAAGCCACTGGATGGCGAAACGTCTACAATAAAGATATCCAGATGTTGCACATGTGTCTTAACTTTCATATTGTCGGTATTTTATACCTTTCTTACACAATGTAGATCTTAATATTACGGACTGCGAAAAAGATTTAGGAGTTCTGGTTAGCAGTAATCTGAAACCAAGACAACAGTGCACAAGTGTTCGCAATAAAGCTAATAGAATCCTTGGCTTCATATCAAGAAGCATAAATAATAGGAGTCCTCAGGTTGTTCTTCAACTCTATACATCCTTGGTTAGGCCTCATTCAGATTATGCTGCACAGTTTTGGTCACCGTATTACAGAATGGATATAAATGCTCTGGAAAATATACAAAGGAGGATGACAAAGTTGATCCCATGTATCAGAAACCTTCCCTATGAGGATAGACTAAGGGCCCTGAATCTGCACTCTCTAGAAAGACGTAGAATTAGGGGGGATATGATTGAGGTGTATAAATGGAAGACGGGAATAAATAAAGGGGATGTAAATAGTGTGCTGAAAATATCTAGCCTAGACAGGACTCGCAGCAATGGTTTTAAGTTGGAAAAATTCAGATTCAGGAAGGATATAGGAAAGTACTGGTTTGGTAATAGAGTTATGGATGAGTGGAACAAACTCCCAAGTACAGTGATAGAGGCCAGAACGTTGTGTAGCTTTAAAAATAGGTTAGATAAATACATGAGTGGATGTGGGTGGGTGTGAGTTGGACCTGATAGCTTGTGCTACCAGGTCGGTTGCCGTGTGACCTGACCTGACTAGGTTGGGTGCATTGGCTTAAGCCGGTAGGAGACTTGGACCTGCCTCGCATGGGCCAGTGGGCCTGCTGCAGTGTTCCTTCGTGCTTATGTTCTTACGTCATCGTTTTTCACTACACCTGCTGCCTCTGTATTTAACTGAAGAAGCCTACTGTGTAGGTGAAACGTTTCAACAATAAAGATACCTAGCTGTTGCACATGTGTCTTAATATAAGAAAGAAGGAACACTGCAGCAGGCTCACTGGTCCATGCGAGGCAGGTCCATAAGTGTTTGCAATAAAGTGAACGGAATCCTTGGCTTCACATCAAGAAGTATAAATAATAGAAATCATCAGATTGTTCAACTCTATATATCTTTGTTTAGGCCTCATTTAGACTATGCTGCTCAGTTCTGGTCACCGTAGAATGGATATAAATGCGCTGGAAAACGTACAGAGGAGGATGGCAAAGCTGATCTCGTTTATCAGAAATCTTCCCTATGAGGATAGACTGAGGGCCCTAAATCTGCACTCTCTAGAAAGGTGTAGAATTAGGGGAGATATGTCTGAGGTGTATAAATGGAAAACAGGAATAAATAAAGGGGATGAAAATAGCGTGCTAAGAATATCTAGCCAAAACAAGACTTGCAGCAATAGTTTCAAGTTGGAAAAAATCGGATTCAGGTAGAATAAAGCACTGGTTTGGTAATAGAGTTGTGGATGAGTTGAACAAACTCCCAAGTACCGTCATAGAAGCAAAAACGTTGTGTAGTTTTAAAAATAGGTTAGATAAATACATAAGTGAGTGTGGGTGGATGTTAGTTGGACCTGGCTAGCTTGTGCTAGTAGATCTGATGTCGTGCTCCTTCCTCAAGTGGATGTGACCTGGACCTGACTAGGTTGGGTCAATCGCATAAGCCAGTAGGCAACTTGGACCTGCCTCGTGCTGCAGTGTTCCTTATGTTCTTAATAAACTTACTTACCAAATAGGCAGGAAGGACAGCCCTGGACAGAAGGCTCATACAGTCCTCGAGTCGTGTAAACTTTTCAACCCAACAACATGATCAGACGTCCTCGAGGGTAAGATTTGTTCAGATTTTTAACCCGTGGGAGGGTTTGCCACCCAGGATAACCCAATAGTCATCTCACAATTGAGGACTATTTCCATTGAGGTCCTTCAATCTTGTCCCCCAGGATGCGACCTAACGCCCAGGTACCTGGATGTTAGGTCATCCTGGGGGACAAATCTGCCAACACCCAGGTACCTGGGTGTTGGCAGATTTTTGGGTCACATTCTGAGGAAGAGCAGCAATGGAATCCCAGTTTAAACAAGCCATTTAGGATAACCCAGTTGAGCCATCCTGAGTTACTAATCATCCTGGTTAATAACCCAAATTGTCCCTCCAATGGAACTAAGTCACATTGACTTTTTTGGATTATCCCAGGTTCTCTACACATGCTGCTATGTATGATAATCTATGTAATTGGATTTGTGTATACCTGAATAAACTTATCACTTTACTAGACAAAGGTTGTCGGAAACATTGAGCATTTCTCTTTAAGGGCCTGATCCTCGGTGATTAATTTCCCCATATTCTCCCTGGGATGTTTGTCCCAAAAATTAACTTGCACTATACTTTCGTAAATATAGACCCCCTCAAGGAAGGTTCCTTGATGTTGGTGAGGGGCTCTTGATTTAGGGAATTGGATCTGTGCTCCAGTTCCCCAAATTAAGCCAGAATGCCTTCCACATCCCCCCCCAGGCGCTGTATAATCCTCCGGGTTTAGCGCTTCCCCTTGGTTATAATAATAATAATAATTAAATATAGACAATGTCAAGTCAAGATACAATTATGGATTAAGTCGTCTTTGAATTTCAGAAGTCAACAAGAACCAGGAGGATCTTTTATCTCAACATTCAAGTTAGCTGAGCTAGAAAACTTCTAGGGAATCCCCTTTTGGAAGTGAATATTGTTGATAAAAATTACAGGCTTATTATTACGTTCATGAGGAGTTCTAAATCTGTAGGGGTCATATAGTGCCTGGGGGAATGGGAGACATTCCCTTTCAGTGCAAGGGAAGCCGAAGTCAAATTCCTTGGATCAAGAGCATCAAGGAACCTCCCTTGAAAGGTACGATTATTCTTAATATATGAATTCTAAAAAATGGATCACTTAGTAAGTGCACTCTTTCTAGATGACTTGCTAGTTTTATTTTATCCCATCAAGGATGATGGGTCCTTCACATTATAATATGCAAATGAAGGTGTAAAGGTAATAATGTGTATGAACAGGTGGAATTGAATCAAGCCATTTTCATCTGTTCCTGGCTCTTTATTGTAATATTCTTAATATTTTATTATAGTATGTACTGCTCTGTACAATAAATGTTTTGTATGACTTATGCTCTTTTTGTATGATATTTTTCTCTGATGAGTGCTCAGTTCTGGCTGTACAGTGCTGATAAGACCCTAGTGAGTTAAGCACATTTTCATAAAAAAAAAAAATGTTGCTGTTTAATGTCATTCACTGACAAGTTGTTTGTTAGTGCTGCACACTAACAGCACCTTTCAAGGCAGGTGAAATTGCTGACCTAGAAAATGTACAGAGAACCTTCACGGCGGGCATAACGGAGATAAAACACCTCAATTACTGGGAGCGCTTGAGGTTCCTGAACCTGTATTCCCTGGAACGCAGGCGGGAGAGATACATGATTATATACACCTGGAAAATCCTAGAGGGACTAGTACCGAACTTGCACACGAAAATCACTCACTACGAAAGCAAAAGACTTGGCAGACGATGCAACATCCCCCCAATGAAAAGCAGGGGTGTCACTAGCACGTTAAGAGACCATACAATAAGTGTCAGGGGCCCGAGACTGTTCAACTGCCTCCCAGCATACATAAGGGGGATTACCAACAGACCCCTGGCAGTCTTCAAGCTGGCACTGGACAAGCACCTAAAGTCGGTTCCTGACCAGCCGGGCTGTGGCTCGTACGTTGGTTTGCGTGCAGCCAGCAGCAACAGCCTGGTTGATCAGGCTCTGATCCACCAGGAGGCCTGGTCACAGACCGGGCCGTGGGGGCGTTGGCCCCCGGAACTCTCTCCAGGTCTCCTGATACCTATTGTTCAAATTGCTATTATATCTGCTAAGAGAGAGAGAGAGAGATTTCGTTCAGATTTTTAACCCCGGAGGGTTAGCCACCCAGGATAACCCAAGAAAGTCAGTGTGTCATCGAGGACTGTAACTTATTTCCATTGGGGTCCTTAATCTTGTCCCCCAGGATGCGACCCACACCAGTCGACTAACACCCAGGTACCTATTTGCTGCTAGGTGAACAGGACAACAGGTGTAAGGAAACGTGTCGAAATGTTTCCACCTGCCGGGAATCGAACCCGGGCCCTCCGTGTGTGAAGCGGGAGCTTTAGCCACCAGGCCACTGCTGCAGCATTTGTTACCATTTTTGATTCTCACAGTACATAGTCTCAGCTCTTCTCATTCTCTTTTCTTCATATATTAGAGTTGGTTCCCTGACCTTTCTAGTAGAGACCAAAATCTCTTGTTGAACTCCTAATCATTCCGGCATGTTTTGGCAACAAATTTGTGACTTGTGCATATTCAGATTTTTGTCAAGAGATGACATTGTTGCATCATATTTTAGTTTCATATTCATAATTCAATCTTTATTTGTCCCTCTATGGCCTTTGTGAACAATACCTGCAGCTCTTTTCTTCTGGTACAGTCAACCCCAAAATTCCCAGGAGGTTAATTTTGACATTCATAAGAATGTTCAGAATGAAAAGTAATTTGGGCATGGCAAAGGGGAAAACCTGTGGATAATCCAGTCTATTCACAGCTAGGTCATTAATAAAAACTGTGGATAATTAAATTCTGCAAATAAGGAACTCCACAAATTTTGGGGTGGACTGTATTCACTCTTGCTACATAAGATAGCCCTCTCAGATCTCAGATTTTAAAATAATCAAAATATCAATTTTTGTTGAAGGCAAAATTGGCTTAAAAGTAAATTTTGTATGGAGGCATTATTGTATTTTAAAACAAGCAAGAAAAAGGTATCATGCATATTTGTAAGTATATTTATGATTCATTTAACTCTCAATTATACAGTAAACCCTTGATATAACAAACCAGTAGGGAGGATTGTCCGAGCGTGTTAAATCAGAACAGTATTAAAAAAATATGTAGTAAAAGGAACTCCATTACTTTACTGTATTGCTAATACAGTAGTGTATAAACAATATACAGATATACTGCAATAAACATTGAAAGTAAAGGAGTTAAACATACAATTTATCCAGTTGCTCTTTTCCATTATGTACATATAATTAAAGGGTATTTTGTAATAATGTAAAATAATGAATAGTAATTAAAATTTACCACTCCATAACCTATGTAAGTAGTCTGTAAACATTACAATTAGTATGACTGAAATGTTCAGGCATGCTAGTTGCTGTATTTGTGCTTAACAATATTTTATAACATGTCAATCACACATTAGGCAAAGAAATGAAAGATTTGAATTTGAACTCTTCAGTGTTCACATACCATCTACTGTTACAAGTTATCATCTGAGAAGTCTTTTGCTGAAGGGATTTGGAGGAAAAAATTACAATGGAAGCAGTGGAAGATTAATTATTGGATATACAGTGGACCCCCGGTTAACGATATTTTTTCACTCAAGAAGTATGTTCAGGTGCCAGTACTGACCGAATTTGTTCCCATAAGGAATATTGTGAAGTAGATTAGTCCATTTCAGACCCCCAAACATACACGTACAAACGCACTTACATAAATACACTTACATAATTGGTCGCATTCGGAGGTGATCGTTATGCGGGGGTCCACTGTACTACTATAGATATAAATTTTGGATTCTTTATTTTTTTTTTAATCAAATGAAAAAAGTCTGATTTCAAATATTTTATGCTAAAAACTACCCTAATTCCACTAACTTTTACCCCTCGCACACTAGACTCCTCACTCACTCCTAACCTTCACACATCCCTACCCTTGCATATCTGCCTAGTGCAGTATGACCCATACAGGTTTAGCACTTAAATTTATTTACTGATTAAATAAAGTTGGACAGAGGCTTGAACCGTTGTCCTGAGAGTAACAGGTCCAGTGTTTTACCACAAAGCTATTATTATTGCAAAAAATTTGTTTTCTATTTTTTTCAGGTTAACTGGGACTCAGATTGCAGTTGCTACCTTTGTAGGAGTTATTGGAGGAATTTATATCTGGAAACCACTGCTCATAAGACTGAGGGAGGAAAAGAATCAATCTCTGGACTTGGAATCTTCTCCACAAACTACACGTGCTGGTGTTGCCATTATTGAACAATCAAAGTAAAAGTAGTGTAACAGTGTCACTATATACACTCTGTTCACATGAACTTTACAAATTATCTACAAGCATACTTAGTCCAAAGATGGCACTTCAGTTCCCACTCCTCAGTGCTGGTTTAGCCCTTTCTGTTATTATTTGTATTGGGTGAGTATTAAAAATTTTCAAGGCTTAATTACAACACATATTATAGGATATGCTATATATTATTACATTTTGAAAAAAATGCTGATTTTCATTTCCCATACTGTCTCTAAGGAAAATGGAAAATACATTACCTGTGAGATAGAACAGCAAGAGGAAACAATGGCCATATCATATAATGAAACTCTAGCTAATCTGCATCAAGGATGCCACCTTTTATTGGTCTTCTATTCTTGCATGGACTGTTGCCCTAACCCTCCCATTTCCAAACTTTCTTTGAGCATTCTTAGTAAAGTGTCTGACCCTCAAGAATGGGCACACCTGCTTGCTTTTGTATGTGCACCAGGAGACTATTACATTTATGAAGGATTTTCCCATTTGTCTTTTGCACTTCAGTGTACAACCATTTCCAAGTAGTACATTATCTTCAGATGCTAATACTTCCCCGAGCTCCTCTACCCTAATGTAGTAGGAAAAATGGGAGTCCAGGTTCCCCCTGCCTTCAGCATCTCATGAAGGAGGGCACACCAGACTTCTGTGACCTTTTCGATGCACTAAGAGATCATTACGCTTTTGAAGGACTCTTCATACCTGTCTTCCAGTGTTGTTAATACTGCATTTGTTCAGCTATACCCTCCACTGTACCTACCTGTAGTCCACAGCCATGTGGTTCATAATGTACATTGAGATGCACTTTAACCCTTTCAGGGTTTCGGCAGTACTAGTACAGCTTATGCCCCAGGGTTTTTGACGTACTAGTATGCCTAAATTCTAGCACCCTCAAATCTAGTTGGAGAAAGCTGGTAGGCCTACATATGAAAGAATGGGTCTATGTGGTCAGTGTGCGCAGTATAAAAAAAAAAATGCTGTAGCACACAGTGCGTAATGAGAAAAAAAAAAACTGACCGTGTTTTTGGAATAAAACAGCGACTTTGCACTGTATTTTCGTATGGTATTTATTGTTGTATTCTAGTTTTCCTGGTCTCATTTTATAGAATGGAAGACATATTACAGAAATTGAGATGATTTTGACTGGTTTTACAATGAAAAGTACCTTGAAATTGAGCTCATAGTAGCAGAAATGTTCGATTTTTACCGAAGTTCAAAAGTAAATAAGTCATGCCAAGCGTCCAATACACATCAACAAGTGCGCTGATATTATTTATACCATTTCTACACTAATGCAGTAGTCTGCATAACAGTAAATCTTCTATTTTTTGTAAGAATAAAAATTCAAAGTGGAAAGCCAAAGAAATATAAGAGGGGCCTGGGGATGTGACTAACGAACAGAGAAGTTGTTATTTTAGTGCCAGGAATGTCTTTCTTGTTTATTCTGGACCCTATTCGGAAATTGGCATCTTTTGAAATGTGTGTGAAATTGGCAAAATTGCTAAATTCTGACCACTTTATTGGATAGTTGAAATTGGTAAATGGGTGGTTTCTTGTACTCATTCAATAGAAAAAATGGAGTTCTAGCGAAATAGTTATGATTTTTGTCGACTAGTACAGTGGACCCCCGGTTCGCGATACTAATCCGTTCCTGAGAGCTCATCGTAAACCAAAAATACCGGAAAGCGAATCAATTTTCCCCATAAGAAATAATGGAAATCAAATTAATCCGTGCAAGACACCCAAAAGTATGAAAAAAAAACTTTTACCACATGAAATATTAAGTTTAATGCAATAGAATAGTAATTACAATAACAACAATAACTAAATACGTGTAACAATAAATAATGAAAGAATAATTGACACTTACCTTTAATGAAGATCTGGTGATGATTGATGGGATGGGAGGAGGGGAGTGTGTGGATGGTGTTAGCATTTAGAAGGGGAATCCCCCTCCATTAGGATTTGAGGTAGCAAGTCCTTTTCTGGGGTTACTTCCCTTCTTCTTTTAATGCCACTAGGACCGGCTTGAGAGTCACTGGACTTCTGTCGCACAACATAACTGGCAGCCTCACCATGCCTAATCACACTATGTATACCACTATGATTCTTAAATCTTTTAAACCAACCTTTGCTGGCCTTAAATTCACTCACATCACCACTAGTTGCAGGCAATTTTTTTATCAAATCGTCATGCAACTGCCTAGCCTTTTCACAAATGATTGCTTGAGAGATGCTATCTCCTGCTATCTGTTTTTCATTTATCCACACCAATAACAGTCTCTCAACATTTTCTAACACTTGTGGTCGCTGTTTCATAATCACAGTTTGCACCTTTTGCAAGAACAGCTTCCTTGATTGCGTTTTCTTGTTCACTATAGTAGAGATGGTTGATTGGGGTTTACTATACAACCTGACCAGCTCCGACACATGCACTCCACTTTCGTACTTTGCAATTATCTCTTTCTTCATTTCAACAGTCATTAGCACCCTTGGTCTCGAAGGGGTTTGGGACTGGGAGCTTTCTTGGGGCCCATGGTGACTTATTTTGCAAAAACAGGCACCAAAAACAGTGATAATATGGATAATATGGAATGTACCGAATGTATCCTTAGATGCGCGCACACTGGCTGGCTTGTAAACACTGGCACACAAGGGGCAGTTCAGGCCACACATGGACACATCTCGTACAAACCACATCGCATACCGGGTTTTGTATCGGGAAGCGAGGCAAATTTTCTGCGATATAATGCATCGGTTACCGGATTTATCGGATACCGATAGCATCGCGAACCGGGGGTCCACTGTACACTGGAATTGGCCGAAAATAGGGCTCAAAGTGGTCAAAATCGCCAATGCGTAAACATCGTCGAGACCGCTAACTTTGTGAGAGCATAATTCCACAAGTTTTCCATTAAATTTCATACTTTTGGTGTCATTATGATCGAGAAAAGATTCTCTATCTTTTCATAAGAAAAAATAAATTTTTTTAAATTTGGGGACCCTAAGAACAAGTCTCGGAGAGGGCCTGGGGACCCTGAAAGGGTTAAAGCATCACTGCTTTTATAGAAGCCACTGCATCTGGCACTAGATCACAAGCATGAGTAATTTCTGGAACAGTCAGTTTCTGTCTCTTAAGTGAATCACCCTTCTGGACATTGCAACATTAGCTGCATCCTCATTTGTCAAAATCAGCAGCTTTACCTGTACCTGTGAATAATGGACCCCTCAAGGAAGGTTCCTTGATGTTGGTGAGGGGCTTTTGATTTAGGGAATTGGAACTGTGCTCCAGTTCCCCGAATTAAGCCTGAATGCCTTCCACATCCCCCCCAGGCGCTGTATAATCCTCCGGGTTTAGCGCTTCCCCCTTGATTATAATAATAATAATGTGAATAATGGAATTCTATCTATCTATGTACAAGAATTTCTTGATGCATCCAATGCACTGCCATTGTTTCCTAACTTGTCTAATTTGATTTGATCACTTTTATCATTGGTCTCTAAAAACTGCAGTTGCATTTCTGGCCATTGTTCCTAGACATTTCTTCTCTCTGCCCTCTGACAGTCTTGCCTATAATGAAGATTCTATAAATTTGTAACTGATACTGATTTGCTAACTCAGCTGTGACACCCCATTCCCCTTTCTGCCTGTGTCCTCCACTACTTTCACTTTCAACTTTCCTTACCCCCTCCTGCCCTCATTTTCCTAACCCATGCCATGTTGCTTTTAATGACTCCACTCAGTTTTAGTCCCTTTCATGATAATAATGAAGAGAGATATAAAGCATAGCTGTACTCTAACTACATATGTGTAATCACACGTAGGCAATCTCATACATACCATAAACGATATATTATTAAAAAATAATCAGCTCTTACAGTGTAGTATGAACTACACTTTCATAAATGCATTACATATTCCATGTATAGTACAGTATTTTTTAAAACATTCATATAATGATTCCAGTAGCAAAATAATTTCTTATAATGTATCTTCAATTTTCATAAAAAATGAATACTATTATGATAATGCCAATATTGTGTATTGCTCTATGTTAGTCTTTCCTTCCAGGTACAAGTGGGGCATTAGTCCAGTTTTAGCAAGGCATAATCGAATGAAGCAAGAAGAATTAGCAAACTTTTTATATGACGAAAAATATGGGAAACAGGATCAAGAGAAAGCAATGTTCCAGTTTTCATCCACTGAGACAAAGGATGATACTGCAAAGTAAATACAAACATTCTGCAAGTGCTTTAGGATGACAGGGAAAGACATGTGTATTATTATTATTGTATTCACAAAATGCTAAACCTGTTTGGGCCATTTGGCACCAAGGACATTTAATGTACATATAGGAGGGGTGTTAATGTTGCAGTTTAAAAACTGTAGTGTAAAGCACCCTTCTGGCAAGACAGTGATGGAGTGAATGATGGTGAAAGTTTTTCTTTTTCGGGCCACCTTGCCTTGGTGGGAATCGGCCAGTGTGATAATAAATAAATAAAAATACAAATAATATATGTACACATCGTTTTGAAGTATAAAGAAGCATTTTTGCTTAATCCCAAAGGCTCACTAGGAATACAACCACCTCAAACACAGCTGTATTCACCTCTAAGCATTACCAGTTAGAAATGTCTTGCAATTTTTAGCTGTGTGTGCCACCTTTTTCCATTTTCTTTTTCTCCACTTCATACAACCTAGACCTAATCAGAGGTAGCCAGCAAATTGGTTGATCAGTTTATGACTAGAGTAGAAGAGATGACATGGGTAGGTGGTGAGCTCCACTCATCATCAGGCTCAGTGCCAAAAGTAAGTTTTTGTCCTTCATAACCATTTTTTTTTTAACACATCGGCCATTTCCCACCAAGGCAGGGTGACCCGGAAAAGAAGAAACACTTTCATGATCATTCACTCCATCACTGTCTTGCTAGAGGTGTGCTTATACTACAGTTGTAAAACTGCAACTTATCAATACCTCAACCCTTCAGAGTGCAGGCCCTTAAAACCATGTACAATCAAAATTTCAGATTTGCAAGGGTTTGGTTTCTAGATGTATGTGGATTTAGACTTCACAAATAAAAGTACTGTACCATTAAATTCTGTTTGTATATATTTTGCTTCATATTTGGGTTCATTTTATGAGAATATTTATCTTTAAATATCACTAATCTAATAATACAGTGGACCCCCGCGTAACGATCACCTCCCAATGTGACCAATTATGTAAGTGTATTTATGCAAGTGCGTTTGTATGTTTGGAGGTCTGAAATAGACTAATCTACTTCACAATATTCCTTATGGGAACAAATTCGGTCAGTACTGGCACCTGAACATACTTCTGGAATGAAAAAATATCGTTAACCGGGGGTCCACTGTAATAGTGAAATTCACAAGAAGAATGTTTAAGAGAAAAGATTTAGGCATGGGAAATCCACCAAGCACACACTAAATGAAATCATATGGTTATCTTTAAATTTATGGGGCACTCACCAAGGCAATAAAAAAGTAAAGGTCATTGCCCAGTGACTTGATCGCTGGCCTGGAGTTCAATGACTCGCTTGCTGCGAGTTCAGCCTCACCTGTACCATAGTTTGTTTGCAGTTGTATTATTAAAATTTTGTGATTCATGATGACAGCCTTTAAAATGTTGGATAATCAAAGCACAAGAATTAGAAAGCTCATGGAGTTGTGAGTTCAAAACAACTTTTGTATTTGGGCTCTGATGACCCACTAGAAACTCTTACAAGAGTGCCCCAAATAATGGTACAGGGATTGTAAAATGAAAGCGGGGAATCAAAATTTCTTAGGATGAAGAGGCACAATACCATGACTGGAACAGTACATAAATAACCCACACATAAGAGAAAAACTTATGACAGCATTTCGGTCTGACTTGGATCGAAACACTCATTTACCATGAGTTGGTTACTCTTAAATTGAATTCTTGATAAGTGTTTCTGGCTCATATATGACTGCGTCAGTCACTAGAAGTTGACTGAAGCCAATCTCTTGCTAGGCATAAGAACCCTGATCATTACATGCATACCCATTTTCCTGAACAACCCAGCAGCTGGTAAGCAGCCTTGCAGTCATCTAAAACTTTCCCTTTCCCCATACTTCCCCATGCATACAGCAGAGAACCACCAATGACAGGATCTGACCTGTAGAGACTTTGCAAATGCACAACCTGATTGTATAGTCATGGTACTCTTGTTTATGGTGATATAATATTCTATGCCGTAACTCATGATGCTTTGCTTGGGCAGGAATGATTTTGAAATTTAAGAGTCCTGATCATGCCAGGTTGAGTGCCCTGAGGATAAGTATGGACTCCATTGAAGCCTGCCATCTATGTCCCTTTACAGATCAAGAGAATATTGGAGAAGACTGAAATCCAAAGTACCCAGTTGAATGCCTAAACAATCCAAGGAACCACAATATAAACAAAGAGAGACTATATTGACACTCAGGTTTAAGTCTCTAGGTACTCATTGGGGTGGGTGTGATCAGGGACAGGTGAACTTTGACTTGCTCATTGTCTGAATTTTCAGTACAAACTGGCAGAAGCTAGAAGGGCCAGGAGCTCAGGATTTCCTTCTGAGCAACAGAGTCCCTGAGGAAGATGAGAGCAACCCAAGCCATCAGACTGCTTCACACAGCCTATACAGGAAATATGAGGGGTTCCAACTTGAATGCTCATTAAGTAGTTTAGATATTAATGTAGACTTAAACAGCTCAAAACCAAGGGAAATGAATAAATTTCACTGCCTTCTTCCCCAACTTTGTCTTGAGGATGCCAGATATGGGACAAGGGATGCAGAAGTTCACGTCCCCTACTGAGCGACAGTTAAATGGCACTTAAGACGTGTCATGACACCCTTAGATGAAAGTAAGAATCTTTCATTACATGGTGCCCATTTCTCATCAGTGAAAAACATATCTGTAAAACATCACCTATAGGCACAGCACATCATAACAATGACAGTTATCCATCCTAAGCCCCAGAAAAAAAAAATATATATTACCTACAATTGTCAAGATGAGCAAGCATAGATGCTGAGAACACATGAGAATAGCCTGGGTGGCAAATTAATGTAGCTAGCCAAGAGCTATGCTGAACAAAGAGTAAGTAAGTAGAGGGGTTGACTGTAATGCTGCTGGTCAGCCAGCTTGATAGCTAGCTCTGGATGGGTCCTTTTCATAGAATAGTGCATAACGAGAAGGAAAGAGGCTGTAGAAGTCATACCAAGTTTAAAAGGTGTAATTTTGAACTGGCTGTCTTCCTAGTGCAGAGCCGTGTCCAAATTATGGATAATTTTCAGAAAAATTCTTTCACATATCCATAGGAATTTTGAGCAGCAAAATTAATAATAACTTTATATAGTACAGTGGTACCTCGAATTTCAGCCATAATTCGTCCCAGAAGGCTGTTCGAGTGCTGTTACCGAACGAATTTGTTCCCATAAGGAATAATTTAAATTAGATTAGTCTGTTTCAGACCCCCAAAAATACACTTACAAAAGTACTTGCAAAGATACACTTACATAATTGTTCAAGTTGGGAGCTGTTCGAAATTTGAGGTACCACTGTATTGTGATTACTGTAATTATTATATTATACAGTACTGTATATCATGATTAATAAATACTTCATTATTATTGTTTAAAATTATTAGAAAACAAAATACTTTTGAGGATTCAGGTAAATAAAATTAGAACAGCAGTGAATGCCACATGCCAAGAAAATTTTCTTGAGTCATCAGAGTTTAAATGTAGAATGTGTTTGGATTACTGTTGTACATATGTGTGTGACAGAATACAGTATTTAATATGTATTCTAATTGTTTTTTTCCTTCCTTAATGTTAGTGGAAAAGTAATACATGTACGGTGGACCCCCGGTTTACGATATTTCATTCCAGAAGTATGTTCAGGTGCCAGTACTGACCGAATTTGTTCCCATAAGGAATATTGTGAATTAGCTTAGTCCATTTCAGACCCCCAAACATACACATAAAAACGCACTTGCATAAATACACTTACATAATTGGTCGCATTGGGAGCTGATCGTAAACCGGGGGTCCACTGTGTTCTGTGATCCTGATACCTTGGGTGGTGTATTCTTGCCCTTCCTATTGGCACTGTCACAGGAAAGGAGGTTGTATAATATTCCTATACATCTAGCAGCTAAAATGGAAAATCATGTACAGTATCACTAACTCACACTCAGTTTTTTTTTTTTTTTTTTTTGCGCCACACTGAAGCACATCGCTGGTAAGCCCCCACTGATTTTTTAATAGGGGTTCAAGCTGAGAAAACAAACATTCTACAGTACCGACTGAAAACATTTTGCAAAATCGAGAATGACTGTAGCAGCAATGGCTAGTTGATAAATTTAAAAAACTAAGCTATATATATATATGTAAAGCAATGATGAGCAAACAATGAGGCACAAATCAAACATACCCCTTATTGATCACCTTTTCATAATGGGTGGACTTTTAACTACATATGTATGTGTCATGGGGTGCACAGGTTGGGGCTTCCCATGCCACCAAGGTTCTGACTGCAGCTCCCCTCAAGGGAGGTTCCTCGACACTGGTGAGGGGCTCTTGATCTAGGGAGTTGGATCTGTGTGCCAGTTCCCTGAATTAAGCCTGAATACCTTCCATCCCCCTCACAGGTGCTGTATAATCCTATGGGTTTAGCACTCCCCCATGATTATAATCTGATCACAGGTACTGATTAAATGCCATTTGTGTGTTTACCTATCTATAAGTTCTTGCCTATATATGGTTGCAGCTGTCAAATCTCAGCTCCTGGCTCTGCTTCTCAGTTTGTCACTAGCCAGATTCACTCTCTCCTAGTCTTGTGGGTCATTTTGCTTCTCTTGAAACTACATATGGAGCCAACCTCCAGCACATGTTTGTCAAGGTCATTTCCTACCTGACCACCCTGCAGCTGAAGTACTTCCTGACAATCCTAGGACTCATCTGTGACTAATTTATAATTATGACCCCATGTACATTATTCTTGTCTCTCAAGCAGAATACCCCTATCTGTCCTGTCAGTTTCCCCCCCCCCCCCAGAGTATTTTGTGTATCATTTCTCCCCTTGTTCATCTTTTCTTTAATGTCATCAGGTTCAGTTCCTTTAGTCTCCCATAAGTCATATCCCTCAACTCTAGAGACTAGTCTAGTTGTATACCTCTGTACTTCTGGATGCTTTATCTTGTAGGGTCATGCTGGTGCTGTGTACTCAAAGATGGGCCTGACGTATGTTGTCTAGAAGGCCTCAGGTGAATTTCAGAATCCTGAAGGCTACTATTAGCGTTTTCAGAAAGGCATTGGCTGCAAAGGTTATTTAGCTGATGTGTGCCTCAAGTCGTATGTTGGACACTATGCTCACCTTTAGGTCTGAGTGAGGTCTGCAACCAACCAACCACTCACTCACTCTTACCCCTCCCCTTGTGTGAGAGTGGATGTCTAAAAGTTGAATCTACCAAATAATTACATTAAAGGGTACAATAAGTTTATTTAAGTACAGGTACAAATAAATGTTGCACAAGGTAAATAAGTGTAAATGGAAAAAGAATTCAACATTCATACACAAGAGGGATTCTTAGCAGACTAGCTGTCTTTAATAGGGAACTACTGTATTTTCCAGCATATAAAGCACATGACAAGGATCATAACAGTAAATCAGTAATCATATTCAAGGGCAAATTACCCTCTTACCTCATGCTACAGCATAACCCAAAGCCTATCCTTGACCCTGACTTTGAACATATAAGGCACAGGGTGATTTTTCCCAGGACTGTTGGAAAAAGGCACGCCTTATATGCCAGAAAATATGGTTAAGACATTTCCTAATTAGTTGCACTGAAGTGCACAATGGATTGAGTGCTGCTAACATCAATTGCCCTACTGACTAGGCCATTAACCAAGAAACCTGGTCTGGGACTAGACCACAGGGGGCAATGACTTCCATAACAATAGGTATGTCCCTTTGAAGATGATAGCCTAACCATTCAGCTGTAACACTTTAGTGAGCAATATGAACCTACTCGCAGCTTCAGCACATCTTGAAGGTTTATAGACAAACCCTTCACCTATATTCAAGTGCTGTCTTATCTAAATTTTGAGGTATCAACTATATTGTTCAGCCTCTCCGTTTTACTTTAAACTTGATCCCATTAATCATCAACGGGTATGTTTGTGTCGAGAGCGTGTATAAGAGGGAAACGGCCCTTCTTTGCAAGCTCGACGTCATACCCATTGTTTCTACTGTTCTCTTCGCTTCCGTGAGCTTCATAATCTTCCAATATATAGACTAATTATATATATTAGCAAGCTTAATGTATTTAATAGTCTCCCTTATTTATCTAAGACCTTTTCTCGGTATCTGTGCTCTTATGTTCCTTAATTTACCTTCCCTTTACGTTCTACCTACAACTCACTTTTCCTTCCCTCTATGGAAAGTTATGACAGTGTAAGTTGTAGTATGAAAGCTCACTTGCTTAATACTCACTTGAAGCCTTTCAGTCTTACTCTCATGCTATAGTCGTCTACACTGATAATTCTAAATCTTTAGATGGTGTTTTATGCAGCTGTTTTTTTTTTTCCTAAAAGAATAATTCAAACATACTAGTCTGTCTGCATTTTCACAGCAGCTCCATATGAAATTCTCTATCATACATGCTGCAACCATGGCAGCTGTATAACCTTTGTAGGTTTTGCGCTTCATTTTATATAATACAGTGGAACCTCAAATTTTGAACGTACCGCTTATCGAACTCTTCAAAAATAGAACCCTTTTTTCAAACCAACTTTGTCCCTAATATCGAACTCACCCCTATTTTCGAATCGCCGGGTACCGGATCTGTCGGGCAGCCCGCTCTGTCCACGTCCCCACGCAGGCACCGTGAGCCAGTCTGGTTTTGTTGATGCTTGAGTGAACACTAACCTGCACTCTCATTCAAACATTTTACGATTACTTCATTGTGTTTAGTGCTTGTGGGACTGTGAAATAAGCTACAATGGGCCCAAAGAAACTTGCTAGTCGTATCCCTGTGGTAAAGAAAGTTAGAAACACCATAGATGTGAAGAAGGAAATAATACAGAAGTGGAATGATGTCCAAGTGGAATGACGTCCAAATGTTTGTAGAGAAGTACCACCCTGAGCAAGCTGAAGCAAGCCATCTTTGCAACAAGTTCAGTGATAGAGCCATGTCCCATTTTTGGGAAATCTTAAAAAGGCACCAGAAACAGAACTGTAGACAGTTATTTTGTGAGACAGGGGTCCAGTGACTCTCAAGCTGGTCCTAGTGGCATTAAAAGGCATAGAAAGGAAGTAACCCCAGAGAGGGCTTTGATACCTGAAGTCCTCATGGGTGGGGATTCTCCTTCCAAACACTCCTCTCTCCTCCTCCCTATCTTCCAGATGCCATCACCACTCTTCAAAAAAGGTAAGTAAAATGTTATTTTATATGTTTGTTTAAATTTATTAATACATAATTGAACACTATTTGTTGTATGTAAAACTATAATTAATCTCTATAAAATGTATTTTTTTTTGTGAATATTTTTGGGTTTCTGGAACAGATTAATTGTATTTCCATTATTTCTTATGGGAAATATTGCTTCGGTTTTCAGACTTTTCGAATTTAGAACTAACTCCTGTAACGGATTAAGTTGGATATTTGAGGTTCCACTGTAATAATAATTTGTGACCATGGCAGCATATTCATTTACTGTTGTTTCAGACTCCCAATGTGCATTATAAGCTAACCAGAAATTCGATTACCTTCATCTCACTGTCCTTCGTATACAATTTTGGTTATGTCTAATTTGTAGTAAACAGTAGTTTTTTGCTGGATCCCTTGACACGATGTTTGAGGCAATGAACAAGCAGACTCGCCTGCTCTGTCGTCTATTCACCACCCGTCAATTTCTCACAGAAGGAAATGCATTCACCAACATTCGCTCAGTCTCCATCTCTCAGTTGTTGAAAACAATATGAAAGAAACTAAACTGGAATTTCACAAAACTTCGAGACCTGACACCAGTCAGTCCACTATCATACAGGAGGAGCCACATACCTATGGTGCATTCATCAAAATCAGTAGACCTCTATAACACTACTGCCTGGCTCCAGCTGGGTTACTAGTATCTGGGAGGTTGCATTGTTGCTACTTTGGTATGCGATCAACATAGCCAACGTGATCTACAAGAGTCAAATTCTACTTTGGTATGCAATTGAAACTTTTGAATTATCCAGCTAACCCAACCAGGTTAGGTTATTACTTTCTACAACTTTTCTTGTTGTAGATCGCATACCAAAGTACCTTCATTACACGTAGATTGCATACCAAAGTAGTTTCATGATACGTAGATCGCATACCAAAGTAATACTCTAATTTACACATTCTATCTGTTAGCATTGAACTGTGTCGAGTCTTTGGAAAGATTTGACGAAGTTAACGCACTCAGGAATAATGGTATAATCAATCTGAGCTAAACTTGTGTGAGTCATACAGCATAATGGGTAGAGGTGTGTGAAGAATAGGGGTATGCAAGGGGTAGAGGTGTGTGAAGGATAGGGGTATGCAAGGGGTAGAGGCGTGTGAAGGATAGGGGTATGCACGGGGTAGAGGCGTGTGAAGGATAGGGGTATGCACGGGGTAGAGGCGTGTGAAGGATAGGGGGTATGCAAGGGGTAGAGGTGTGTGAAGGATAGGGGGTATGCAAGGGGTAGAGGTGTGTGAAGGATAGGGGGTATGCAAGGGGTAGAGGTGTGTGAAGGATAGGGGTATGCAAGGGGTAGAGGTGTGCGAAGG